CCCCCCCCCCTCCAACCCCGTTACATTCCTACTGAGAAGCTCTCACGTTCCCGCGGCTTCAATTTCCCATAGCAACAAGGAGATTCGAAACAACGCGGCCGGATACGGCATGTCCGCCTCGAATTTTCCCGCGTTCTTTTTCGACTCGACGATTTCCGGCACCACAGGTGCTGATGCCGTTCCGCGGAACAGAATCCGTTTGAAGTTACAAACGCTTTGGATTATAATTAGTCTCCACAAAGCACTTCGAAGCGTTTGCAGCGTCAAATGGATCCAGACTGCGAGATTTGTTACGCGATTTTCAACCTTTCAACGAGGCATAAGCTCGAGAATCGCACACGCGAATCCGTTGACAACGGCTGCACTGAGAAAAATTTTTGAAAATTCATTGGTGAAATACGAAGTTTATTTCTGCGAAATAACATTTATTTTTGTGAAATAAAAGATATTTCTGTGAAGTAAACTTTGTATATCGTGCAAATAAATTTTCGAATGTATTTTCCCTCAGTGTAAGAAAACGGTACTTGAAAGTTTGCTCGCGGGATGCAAAGTTCACACTTCCGCGAAGTGAGGTCTGTATCCCACAAATAAAGATTCGAGTGTTCCTTTTCCTCAGCATACGGCACTTGTGACGCTGACTGTAAAAAGAGGTCGCAGAAAAATCGCGCTCTAGCCGGTTTGAGAGAGTTTGTGAATGACGCGAGTCGGATACATGTTCCATGTGGAAGCGACGAAGACGATCGATATACGTCGTTGCTTTATATAAAGCGCTTACGTGTCGAAGTTTCTGACGTCGAATTCATCACGCCACGGATTACTCAGCTTCGTGGAAATCCGCGTGGAAGAAGCGGACCGGTTTCGAAGGTGGAGGACATCGAGAGAGACCTGCCTACCTATCTACCTTGCTGGCTCAACCGTTAATTTATATATCTACTCATCCTACTGATCTCTACACCCATGTGTCTCGCGAGTCATCCGCGATTTCGTCTCATCTATCCACGAGTTTTATTAATGAAACGCGTTGATTTCTTCGCAAAAGATCAAAGGAATGACCGATAGTAGTCGGGTACAACGCACTCGTTTCGTTTTGCTTTACGACCCGAGACGCGAACAATAAAATTCGCGCGTCCGTTTGCTTTTATCGCCGCATCTACATATTCTCCCTGCGTTTTGGGTCGGTCTCTTTAAACGGCAGTCTCGTGTCTGCATCAAGAAAAAAAAAAGAGATTACATCGCGCGGTCGGAGGGGGTCTATTTGAACACTACTGCTGTTATCGTTTCGCGCTGCTGTCGCATTCTCGCGGAAAAACTAGCTAATCGTCGTTTGTGCTGTTTCAACGGCGAGACATTGGCACGAGAGATTTGGTCTCGTGTGTTCTCCTCGGTCGGCGTGGTCGCGGAATGTCCTCTCCGCGCGGCCTTACTCCTTTCGGAGGAGAGAGAGGCCGCAGCGTCGCGCACTACGAGGCTGAGCGAAGACGAGCCGCGATCATTCGGAGAAAAAAAGCTCGCATTATCGTATCACCACATCTGGCGAGACGAGGTGAAAAGTTCGTGAGAAATGCCGGGGAAATCAATGAGGAACTCGATACGACACGAGAGAGTCGGAGAGAAAAAGTGAGAGAGAGAGAAGAAGCGCACGGCAGCGTCTCTTACGTCACAGCCTCGTGTCGCGACGCTACGTTAAGGGGGGAAAAAAGATAAGACGGAAAAAGGTGGAAAGAGATATATATGAGGAACTCGAGATTGATAACGGAAAGCTCTACATGCCCTGACAGAAAATAAAAAGCTCTTTCAGAGACCGTGCTACACTTGAACGCACCGGAATCTAGGTTGAACCACGTTATTGACAGCGAAAGAAAAATAAGCCCCGCCCGCCTGCGCAATAGGCACGTATTATCCGCGCATGTGCATATATCCAACGAAACTCTTATCAACGCACTCGCTTGTGAATGGGCCATTGTCGGTTTGTCGTATTACGTACACACCAGGTATACGCGCTATCTCACACAGATCAAAATTTTCCACGTTCATGTCGTGCCCATTCCAAGGAGTGCGCGTTCTTCTCTCTCCGTTGTTCAACAGCCGCACGTGAGAGACTTGACGATTACCGCGTGTCGTCCGTGGAAAAAGCAACTCGTACGAGACGACGTTGACGAATCAGACCAATTGCGAGTGCCTATTGTTACGGGGGTCGGAGACGGATGGAAAATGGCGAGGATGAGCCTACCTTGAGAGTCGCGATGGGCCTGTACAGCCTCCTGGGCTGCGAGGAACACTTCGTCCGCCGTTCCTGGTGCGCCTCCGACAGACCCCACGACACCTCCCGCGTTACTTCGGTCTCCGGTAACATGCCACGCCCCAAGGCCTGCTAAAATAAGGGGCAAGTATCCTCCGATAAGTTTGATGCGGCATTGGTGTGTGAGAGAAAAAGAGAGAAAGAAAGCTGTTCTTTCCGCGACGATGTCGCGTCAAAAACGAACTGGCAACGACTATTAACAGATTGATAGTCGAGAGACGCACTAATAATTTATATATAAAAAAAAAAAAGAGATATATATATTACCATTCTAGGAATAAAGGGTGTGCTTTATTTCATAAACTCTTCAAGATGAAAACAAAAATATTAGCACAAGATGCAAGACCGACCGAGTGATTGTGTAGCGAAATACAAGGTTTCACAGTCGTAAAAGTCGCACGATGTTCCCTTATACAGTGGGAGGTGCGCTTAAAAGATACATTTATATTAACAATAACACCCTTAAATCACCCCTACACACCTTGCACGCCCTTCACACGCCTCGTTACAGCAAGCAATACCCGGCGCGTGATGTGTACGGGGATAAACCCACACACATCCGCCCCGCAGTCTTTCGTGTGCGCTCGCACACACACATACGTACACACAGGTGACATGAATTTTTTTCTCCACAATCTAAAGAGCTTATGAGTAATCTATGCATAACACTTAAGGAGCAGACAAATAATACTGACAGTTTTTCCCGACTATATTTATAGAGTTCAGTGTACTTCGTATAATCGCTCGTCGCACACGCGTTTCATTGAATTCACCGTGTCAACGACTAGTTCGGAAGTGATTCTTGCCAGAGAGTTTCGACTCGAAAGAGAGAAAGAAGGTGATTGAATTTTTCTTAACGTCGAACAGGTGCAAACGATGAAGGAATATGCCTTTGGGCAAATGTGCATGCATTCTACGAGATACGTTCGATTCAAGCAAAATGATACGATGCGAGTCAGTCTTCAATATTTCAAACAGAACCGCACCCCGAACAGGCCGTGATTTTCTAATGACCGATGACAGATGTTGTCGGTCAGACTCGAATAGAATAGAATAGTGCGTGGGACAGATTTTATAATAATCGCGGGTATACACACGCACACACTAAGTCTGTCTAGGCTGGATCAGGGGGCGAGGTTGCTGTTTCCATCTCCTTCGGACGACGTTCAATTTTTTCAAATAGAACTGCAGCGTTGAACGATTAATGCCGTACATCTCGGACGCTTGAGTGGTGCTAACTCCCTGTTGCAATATTGCCTCCAGGGACAATTTAACCGATTGTAAGCTATATTTTCTGCCCTGCTTGTTCGCCAGTGATTTAAGCAACGCGCCTAGGTCGACATCCGGGCGCGCCCGCCTTATGCTTGGCCCTTTTCTACATTCGAGGAAATGGGAAGCCCAAACGGCACCACTACCACCACCACTATTACCACCGACACTATTACCACCGCCACTATCACCACCACCACGACCACCACCACGACCCCATTTCCCTCTCGACAGAGACCGCGGTCCCGCCCCCCCACCTGCAACGAGGAAACCCAAACTAGTGTCGGCCAATTATCACACGTCCCGTTTTAACAGATAATAAACAAAACAGCGAAACGACTGACTTCACGACACCGAACTATTCATTCATTCGTTAACGTACAAAGCCCTTCCTAGGTCTACGAAAACACGACTGTCGGCCCGTTATATGTCGCGCGGCTCTCGTTCAAGAATCACTGTCCAATCGTACAGACATCAAAAGCTCCGCTTCGATCCAAATGAACGTTTGCTTTGGATCGAAGACTCGCCTACTGTCGTTGACTCTCCGCAGCGTGTGCAATTTCATAGAAAACCTCGAACTCGAGTGCTCGCCGAGTAGCCTGCGTATTCTTTACGCGTGTTTAACGACGCGCTACATTCCAAACGCGCACGTCATTAGAAGTCGTAACGTCCACTGATGCATGTTTCTACTCCGATTAATTCAACCGGCTGGTTATTCCATCGAAATTGATCAATCGTATTTGTCAATTCCGATCAACGATAAATGCTATTGATTAATTCCGATGGAATAACCAACCGATTAAGTTAACTAAAGTTCGTAGAAACGGGCACAAATGAGACAAATGAGAACCCTGCATTTCGCTACAAGAAACTAAAAGTCGTAAAAGCTCATAATAGTAAGATTGGAATTACTAAATTACCGGGATGTTGGGAGGAGTCGTGGGAAGGTCCAGCTCTGTTGTTGTCCTGCTCCATCTCGTTAAGATCGTTCATATCATCATCTAGCGTCAAGTCTTCGACGCCCTCCTCAGGCTCCTCGAGGTATTCAGACTTTGGCTCGACGAGATTATCGCTTGGCTCGGGTTTTTCAAGTGGCAGCTGCGGCACAGTACGGCACGTTAGTTATCAATGTACTGAGAGCTCTTTTCATCAAAGAGAAAACAGAAATAAACATAATAATCCGCGGTGAAGCGATAAGAGGGAATTATCTCGCACCGTTTCCACTCTGCAATGGCGATGAGAGAACAATTTAGACCAAGCAGTAGGATGGAGTACGAATTTTTCTCTACCAACGAAGCGAAAGAAACAGCATTTTTACAACAACAGTTTCTATTAGACGTTGGCACGCGACCGGTAACAAAATTAATCGCGTCGCATATTTTACCTGCAACATCTCGTCGGCGGGCTTCGTCAGCTGCGTCATCAAAGCTGACCTGCCGAGAGAGTCGGTCGGGTCTGCGTGTACTCTCTCTTCTGCCACAGGCGCAATTCCCAGCGACGGCCCACCCATTTGTTGGGGCATGTCGCTCGAATTCGAAGCATCTTGGCTCTCAGTTGTTGTGTCTTCGCCTGCGCTTCTTCTTCTAAGTTTTTTTCTTCTTCTTGGAATAGGACTTTGTGAGCCTTCCCTAAAATTGAAGGAACGGACGAATATTAGTCGTATGTTCGAATAAAGAAATTTTATTCGCGCACGAAAGCTGTACGACCGCTGTGCTTTCTTGAGAAACGCTCACCTCGAGGAGATGCCTTTAGAAACTTGCGGACTGGCCGTGTCCTCCGGTAAATCTCCCACGGAACCTTGTGCCATACTCTGCCTAGGAACTCTGTTCTTCTCTATCGTCAGACCGGAAGACGTGTGTGGAATGTCTAACGACGGTGCTGTCGGCTGTGAGACGGTTTTCTGTGGCCTGGATTCTGCCTTCCTGCCTTCACCCGTTCTGTTATCGGAAAGGCCCCTAATTTGCAAGGACTCAGCGGCTTTGAGGAGAGGTGTCAATTGGTCTTGACCAATATTTACTTCCCCCCTATACATATAATCCATCATGGCCTTAAGTTCGTTAAATGTGACATCTTTTAATATGAAGATTGGATGTTTATCATAGTGCTCGCTGAGAAGGCCCTGTAACATGAAAATACACATTCCATCTAGTAAAGCAGTCACGATAACAGAAGAAATATTTCAAATTTTCTTAAATATCTATAAACGGAAACACATGAATTTCTAGAATTTATATTCTTTGAAGAATATATTGTATTATATTCATTGTTGTATTCATACTCAAAATTGATAGAATGTACGGTGGATGTTGCCTCAACATACAAAAAATAATATCAAAATTTTATATCACGAGATGTAACTTGCATAGAAGCAAGATATGTTTCTGATCGTTCAGAGAAGTAGTATTTATGCAGTACATATCGCATGAAACTATTATTTACTTGAAAGGTAGAATTAAAATGCGAAATCTTTCCGCATCGCATAATTAGATCGCGAGGTACTATTTCTGGAACGGCAAACAAGTTGGAGCACGTTATTAATTTTCATAGGGTGACATATCCAATTCATGCAGCAGCCTTGTCGCTTTCTGCATCCCCACCCACATCAGGGTAAAATCCCAGGGCAAGTGCCCTGGAAATCAGCCATCTTGCTTTCCCTGTATTGATCAAGAGGAGCTAGGAGAGGGGCTTCAGGCTTATGCTCCCCACCCTGCTCCGCTGCACCTCATACTCTTGCCCAGGCAATGTTCAACAAGCACGGCCATCTTGTTTCAACTTAAGACCCCCCTCTCCCGCTTGCTTCCCGTCATTCCATCTCGCTCCCTTCCACAATATTTCGTATTGATCTAACCCCACAGCGCCAATAGGACAAAGAAGCAGCCGGAAAAGCTTCATGGTATAAAATTATGATTTCTTTGCATCACATCCTCCCATTACAATTCTCTCAATTTTGAGTATAATCTTTCATCAATATGTAAAGTGTTCACGTAATAAGCAGAATCACTGATCAAAAATTGAACATTGTTATGACAACAGATATAATGTAAATTTCTGCGACGAGTATATACTGTCAGATATACAATCAGTTCTACCTGATAACTTATGAAAGAGAAGTCAGACAGCAAAGAGAAATTTCATTAGATTTTGCACAAAGCAATTGTTCCTTCATCAACATGTCTAAAGTACAAAAGGAGTAATCTGAGAGTTCACAAGTGTCAAGCAGAGCGACGAACTGAGAAATCTTTTCATCTCGCTGGCAGATGTATTGTCGCGACAATACGCGTTAGAGCAATGAGAAACGACAGCGTTTCACTCACCTCGAAGTATGGACTGCACGCCGATAAAACTACCTTGTGGGCCTTAAGATACCTTCCTTCCGCTGCCAAGGTACAATCAACCAGCGTCCCGCTTTCAAGGAGTGTGTCGAAATTTTGTACGAGCGTGCTCTGGTGGTTGTTCCACCTGAGGCAGAACTGCTGGTCGTCCTCCATGGTAGTTGTCTTCGTTCCCTCGTTTCTGTACAGGCGAAGAAGCGAAAACGATGATGCGATGCGAGCCTTGTACGAGGCGGCCACGAACGCGGAACACCTCTCGCTAATGCGCTATCGATCGACCGAGCCGACGCTATCTCGTCCTCCCGCGACCGATTATTATCGCGCACATCGAGCCGGACGACGTATCCGACGCGAGAATACGCGTTTCGACTGCTCTACGTGCTACCGCCTTCTGTTCCTAACGATCTTGTCCGCGACGCGGCCCTCGCGGGAGGACGACGCAAGCGGAAGCTCCGCAACGAAGCGCCGAAGCTTCCAAAATGGCCGTGCGCTGCAAGCGCGTCGGTCGGATCGCTCTTCTGGCCTTTTCCTTTGTGCGTGTCCTCGTAACGGTAATGGACTGTCTGGTGGGGATGATGCAGGAGGACGCGCAAGCACCGCGCACGCGCAGTTGCGCCCGGCCTGCGCGCACCATTTGCGCAAGAACCGCCGCGCGGAGGCCCCTGGGACTCAGGGGCGGCTGCTGCCGCCGCCGCCGCCGCCGCCTCTGATCAACCTTCCCGACGAGAGGACAGCACCCCGATGAATTTTCAAGAAAAAATGTCGCGCGACGCGACGTAAAATTTATATCGAAATCGTACACTTGGCGGAACTTGCGCTCACGAAAACACTAACACCGAATTGCGATTGCAAATACAAAATTTAATAAATTCAGTATCCGAGGATCACAGAATGAAAAGTGCCAGAAGTATACGTACAGTCGCAGTCAAGAATATTTTGGCTAAATTTATGAACTCTCTTTCTCTCTCTCTCTCTCTCTTATCTAACACAATTATCTCATTGAATAAGACGAGGCGAGTTCGCAAATTCGCTTAAAAAATTATGGCCGACGATTGTGTTTAACGATAACGTGACATGTACAATTATTATAATTGTTAGCATCAAAAAAGCTTGTCGCCACGATAAGCACATTTGGAATTACGACGGTAGTATATCATCACGACGGATCGATACGCGCATTCCCATCGTGATGAGATCGGCGGTCCTCGCGTCGCCGCCCGAAGCGGGATAAAACCGGGACAGGTTTAACTCGATTTACGTCAGCGCAATTTGCATTAGCAAGGCACGTAATAAATACGGAAAATCGATCACGCGGCGTTGCCCGACAGGGTGGGGAACGTCGGGAACTGGACACTTATTGCAGCAGGGGGAACGGAGTCGAGGTACGCAGCCGCGAAACATCGGGAAACGTAACCGTCCAAAGAGAAAAAGAGAGGGAGGGTAGGGAATAGAGACAGAGAGAAAAAAAAGAAAGAGAGAAGAGAAAGATAAAAGAGGAGTGAGACAGAAGAGAAGGGAAGAGGGATAGAGAGAAAGAAGAGATATACAGAAAACCATTCCTCTCTTGCAGCCTACGCACGATTGCGTAATCTATTTATATTGTTATCTCGCGCGAGAACGCGAGTTACGTCATGCGGCGCCGTGCGACAGCATGTGTGTGCACGAAAACGAAAACAAATTGTTGACAGATAATTTTTCCGATCGTATTAGACGCGTGCATACTTGTCCGCGCGAGTGTGCGAGAGCAGATAGGGACGATATGAGAAAAAGAGGGGAAAAAAGATTGGAAGGGGGGTAGAGAACGCGCGACGACGCTAGGCTCTTCTCGCCCCGCGCCGTCCCTGGAAACCGCAAAAACGGAGCACAAGACGTGGATCGCAATATGGCGGTTCGCGAGGTCGCGCCCGGACAAAATGGCGACGGGTGAAAAGCTCGCAAGGGAAAACCGTGGCGATCGATGTTCCCGACCAGAGTGCGCGCGCGCGCGCGCGCTCCACACAAGTCGACCGAATTCCCCGCGCTGATGCGTCGCGTCTGGACAATGGCACTGAAATCGCAAACGGCCGCCACTACACGCGGGAAATTCGCGCTTTTTGCATCGGTGGCGACAGCGACGAGAACCGCAACGTTTTCTGCCGGAGGTAGTGCGTCGCGCAAACAACACAGACCCGCCCGACCACACCGCCCGCATACCACGCGCGTTACTTTTTCCCGAGACACGTTCCGTCCGTTATATCCATTCGTAGTGCACGTGTACGGTTAATTACGTAAAGCTCACTCACCCAGTAAGGAGATATAAAACAATCTAATATCACAGCAATGGAGTTGGTGAAAAACGATAAGACGGCGTGGAGCGTCCCCAGGCCCGGTGTGCGCCTCGAGCGCTGTCCTTTTCAACAATGGCGTAACGCAACGCCTTCTGGTTCAAGCGGCGCGGACGGCCGTTAGGCGGCGCGCATGATCCGCGCAAGAGAACGCTCGCGAAACGAACGAGATGGAAAAAACAGGAAAGCGCCGCGCCGCGTCGCGTCGCGCCGCGCCGCGCATGCGCACCACACGGAAATTCACGACTGCGACGTGATTGAGAATAGCCCTGACGACGCTCGAAGAGCCGCGCGCGCGCGAGAAAGAGAGAATGAAGGAGAGAAGGAGAGAGAGAGAGGAGAGAGAGAGAGAGAGACGCGTACGCGATTTCCAATCCCGACATTTCGTCATAGCGACTTCTCTCATCCAATTCCATCTCGTGAGCAATGTAATTCAAACTTTAAACGGCGGTCAAAGATGTTTTCACTATTAGAGTGTAAGGGTGTGGACTGAAAGATTGTTCGTAATTTTCCCAGTGAGTTCGTAAACTTTATCTTGTCCAATGAGAACATTCTTTCCTTGAAAAACAGATTTCCCATTGAACGAAAAACGAAAGATTTCTAAACTCCCTTCAAAAAATATAGTTTTTTTATTTGTGATTACATATTTGTATTTTCTTTGGAGGTTAAACGAAAATATTTTCATCAGTGGAATATTCAGTTGTGGACTGAAAGGTTGTTTATAATTTGTCCGGCGAGTTTTCGTAAACTTATTTAAAGTATTTTCCATAGAAAAAACGAATTTCTTATTGGACGAGACGTAGAATTCACAATCTTCTCGAAAAGCACGAGCGATCTCTTGTTCATGATTATACACACGTATTTCTCCTTCCAAATTATCGTAGAATTAGAAAACTTGATTTAATCTAATTAAATCAAGATTAACGTTGCGATTTGAAAATTGTTTTACTGAACGACTAGTAACTGAAATTAGATAAGACAGATTGAAAAAAATATACTTTAAAGCCGACTCGTTTACACGCTTTTATCTAGACTTGCTATTTCGTAGATAGCTTTCTCCATTCACTTCTTTCAGGAAGAACCATCGTGAATTTACTAAAAATTTACGATATATAATTTCTTTAAATATCTCAATTTACATTTCATTTCCACATTAATTACTTTTAAAATCGTGACGCGTAATGTTTGGAAAAATTAATGTCTGCAACAAGATGTTTTACTGACTGTCTAGTTCTACCGGCAATCACAGCATTTCGACTCGATGTACCCGCTGCGACGGTGTGAATCTATTTTATCGACGTTTTCTTTTTTATTTCTTATCACATCTTGTGCACTCAGTTATTCTGATAGAGATAGAGTTGATATCGAACACATTCCGGTCGTTCACTGTGATGCAGTAAAAGGCCCTTAACCGTGGCGGTAAAACAGTAATAAAAACTACCGATGTTACCGACCAAGGACTACGAGTTCTTTTGTGCTCGGTTTACTACCCGCAACCTTTCAACGTAATTTCTAAAACGCACACTGCCGCCGCGCTCGTAACGCAACCGATAATCAAAACAAACAATTACGCGTGAACAGTCCTGTCGTTTTACAGCGCGAGAAGGCGTTCCGCGGCCGCCGATCGTCTCGACACCGGGAAATTTCGCGCGGAATAATCATGGCGGAGGCTCTCCCGTTTTTCGTGAAGCGCATTATGGCCCCAACCAGTTATGGCTGACTACGGTTTCCCGAATCTCTCGGCGTTTCACGCGCGACCTCGATCGCCTCTCTATCTTTAGCGATCGACTATCAGATGAAACGCAAGTGGTCATCTGCAGTACGCAGAGTAAGCTTGGCGTAAAAGTTGGAATAATAAAAAAGAATTATCTATTTCGCTTATGCCTACACTCTAACTTCCTCACATCGGAATTATTTTTTCCGCTTCAGAAAAATACTTCTAAGAAGTATGAACGGTGTAAGAGAGATAGAGTAGTATAGGCGTAAAAGCAAAATAAATTTTTTATTTCTTACACCAAGCTTACTCCGTATATATATTGTACACGACCATTAAGAAATAAAAATAATTTATTTCGCTTACGTCTATACTTCAACTCCCTTACGTCGAGAAAATCTCTGTCAAATAAATACTTCCGGTGTTAGGGAGTTAAAGTTTAGACGTATATATAGGTGAAATAAATTAGTTTCATTTTTTACTCCTATTCTTAGGCTTGGTCTACATGTAGAGTAAGCTGTAAGGATTGGCCAATCATAGTTAATTATTACAAGAATAATCGGCTATATATATAATAATTGGCCAATTCTTACTGTTCACTCCACATACTGTAGACAAGTCTTAAGACCCGTTCTTTTCCGCCCAGTGCGCATTTATGGAACTTGAGAAGAAACAGGTATATACAGTCGAGACTCTTGGTGCGGAGAAGATAAGCAGAAGAGCACCAACGCGCGAGAGCTGATGCGCGAGGATCACGGCGGAAAAGAATAGGCCAAGAGTGCCGAGCGAACAGACACGCTACAACGCGGACGGCACACGAAAGTTAGGCTCGACACACAACGCAAGATACCAGCAGGTCTCGCGAATGACCGCGATAATCGCGCACGCGATAGCGCGAATTGGTTATGTAATAAAATCGATTAATTTCCTCGCCGCCGACGGCACGACTCGGCGAGCCGAATGTCGCGCGCTACGAGCTTTGTTCTGTCGGGATTTGCACACAATAGCGCGTTCGCACTGCACAATTCGCACGGTCGAAGCGCAACTCGCGCGGCTCTGCCTTCGCAGATCGTCGGCCGTATTACCGCTGCTTGTCAACTCGATTATCATTCGCGCACAAAAAAGTGCATGTTCGCGCTCTGGCGTGAATTCGCACGGAGAATGCTGTTTCCGCTACTTTGCGCCGCGCGATTAAGCATACGAACGTGCGATCGTGGCACTTGGAAATGCCGCAGAAGACGAACATCATTTTCTTATTAGACAATAACCCGTTTGAAGTGCAACAACCTCTGCCTGTCGTCTATCCCTCTCTCTCTCTCTCTCTCTCTCTCTCTCTCTCCTCTCCCTCGAGGAGACAAGCAGTAGTCTTCAATCTGCACGAATTTCGTGTGGCAGTCCGGAAGAAATGTAGCGAGCGATTTCGTCGAGAACGCGAGTCTGCTGAAAAATTCGCATGAACAAGCGCCGCGTCGTCGTGGACGACGTCATAAACCGGCTCAGACTCCACGAGCCGATACGCGTTGCCGTAATGGCCGACATCGTGCTCACGGGCGAGACACAAAATGGCGAAAAGCCCCGAAAAAGCCGCCGGAAAATCCGTCCACGCCGGCAAATGCGACTTCTCACAATGGAAACACGCGATCTTCGTGACACGTCGAAACGACGACGTCGACGTCGTCGAGAACGAAGACGCGCGCGCGAGAGAGAGAGAGACGGACATAGCGAGAACACAGTATGGCGCAAACGACCTGATTTTCCCCGAACTTTCCACGGCGTTCCGTAGCGTCATACGCGGCCACGAGGCACGGCGGCGAGGAGTATCGCAATCAGACGAGAAATGTGTGTTGCTACTCACCTATATTGGCACAGTCTAAATATCACAGGAGGACGAGCTTGGTAAAACTACGCGCCGGGTCCTCAGCGTGCACTATCCGAGCGTCATGGGTCCTTTTTACACAATGGCCGTCCGCCGCTACGCGCTTAGTCGATCGATCAGTTTCTGCGAGCGGGTAACCGCGACCCGACGTACGTCTCCTCACCCCGTCGCGGCCAGACGCGGCGCAGTACACGCTAACGCGACTTCTGCGCATCGAACGCCGTCACGGTGGGGACGGAGAGAACGGACGAGACGCACACTACCGGCGCGGAACCACCGACGCCCCGGGAATACGTCGTGAGTACATTTTTCTCTTTTACGGGACCAAAATGTGTGTGAGGAAAAAACTGCCAGGCGCTCTAACAATTTTTCTCGATACGCAGAAGGCGGTTTGGACATTAGTATTTATTTATTTAATTGATTAACGGGAGGACCTCTGTTGACATTAAGAAGAAAAGATGAATATTTTTAAAATCACGCGATACATAGCAATAACTTATATCGTTGATAATTTGGAAAGTCTACATAAAGTCTGTATGTAAACAAGCACGAAAACTGATCCAAGCGCTGAAGAGAAATATAAACATAGTTAGAGAGAACATTACGTGATCAAACACGCAAATAACAATATATATACTTTGAATATTTGTTGTTTACTCTTCCTAATTCTTACAAAAAGGAGTTGTGACTACTTGTGAGATACTTGGGAACTTATTTAAAAAATAAAATAAAATATTGAAATATAAAGTTTATTTCTGCGAAATAAAATTTACTTCTATAAATAAACCTTGTATCTGACAAATAAATTTTTAAGTACTTTTTTCTCAATATAACATAAATAACGGGATAAGTAATAATATAAATAAGATATGTAATAACATAAATAAGATAATTACAAATGGATAAGTATAGATAAATAAAAATATAAATAGATAAGTAATAATATAAATAAGATATGTATAAACTTCTTACATTAGAAATATTAAATCCTTAAATAATCTAGAACATTTGTTTTACTTTTATGTATAGCTATTATACTTGCAAATAAAAAAACAACTTTTTAAATCTTTTAGAGCTAATTTTTCTAATCTCTCGATAAGCTAACAGTTAAATCATACATGTGTCTGTCTAATTTGAAGATCTTAAGCCTTTTGATATATTCATGGAAAATTGTACACTTATAGCTAAACAGATTGTCTGTAACTTTTGAAATGTGTTTGTGAATTGCCCGTCTTGTTCATACAATAAGAGAATTCTTCCCATTGGACAAGACGGAGAATAAAACTATTTGTACGGTCGCGGATAAAGGGGTCTGTAATTTTTGAAGTCAATTCGTAAAATCCAATGGAAGAATTCGTTTTCAAATGGGAGAATATTTCTATGGGACAAGACTGATGAGCTTACAAATCCACTCCAAAAATTATAGACAATTCTTTCCTCCACGATTGTATATGATTGTGGATAGAAAAGTTGTCCATTATTTTTGAAGTTAATGAAAATTTATTTTTCACCAGCAAAAAATTATTCCTATTGGATAAGACAGAGAATTCACTAATTCAACTAAAAAATTACAGTTGAACAATCCTTCTACTCACATAAATAGCTTTGCTCGTAAACTCTTTGTTGAATCATGCGTAGCTGTGTGTGAATGTATATGTGTGTATGTGTGTGTATGTATGCGCGCGCGCGTGCGAATGCACGCTGTGTGAACCACACAACGATTAGAAAAATATACCTACTGTAATTATATAGACAGGTTCACAGAACTAGGACGTGTTGCGTCTTTCTTCCGGAACAATATGAGTCAAAGCATTGTGAGAATCGAGACAATAAAATATCCAGAAGATAACAAAATCAATTTTTATGAGGAACACATGAATATCCTACTGTATCACCGTTCGTAAATTAGAAATCAAGTCACTGTTGTGATTTTTGTTCAAGAAATATTCCAGTTCTTCCACGATAAATCCAACTCTCAGTTAAATTTCTACAGAACAACAAGAACCATAGCATGTCTGGAATGACGTATGGTGCTTTAGCAATGATATTTTCAAAATTACCCGTTTCCGATTATACGCATAAACTATCATCATACCTCCTAAGATTTACTGATAGTAAACGTCAATATATGCAAAGTAAAAAATTCGAATTCGACAGGAACCGAATCTATATTTACAATACACAAATTATCATAAAATTTTCTGATATGCTAACGGTGAATGTGAATGTGCGCAAAGTCGAATTCGAGCTCGCAAGAATTGAATCCTGTATTCGCAAGAATATCCAAGTGGTCCGAAAGTCGAACGCGGATTCGCCTTTCCCAGCTCTCGCCGAGAGACGGCCCTGGTTACGGCCCTGGCGCTCGACCGTCTACCGTCACGGTATTGGCCGACTAGTGGGGATAGCACGGACGCGCAGCAGGGGTAAAAAGCCAGGTTTCCGTTCTAGGGCGCGTTCGCGGCGGAGCGCAGCCGGCGGGAGAGGCGAAAGGCGACGCGCGGGAGAAGTGGAAAGCCGGGAAGAGAGAGCCGACGAAGGGAAGAATCGGGGTCCACAACAAAATCGCTTAATCGCTTTGCGCCACCGTCCGCAACGGAGCACGGCCAGTCCGCCGCCATCGCGCAGTGCCCCCTAGTGTGCATGCATGTCCCTCGTTCTCTCCTTCCTTCTCGTTCTCTCTCTTTCTCTCCTCTCTGCCCCTTTCTTCCTCGCCCGGCTCGTTCGCGCTCCTCGTCTCTTTCTCTCCTTCTCCTTCTCCCGCTCCCTTTCCCTCTCCCTTCCTCTTCTTCGCGATCTCTCCCGCTGTCTCTGTCTCCCCGTGATTCGCTATGCCACTTCGGTCCGCGACGTTTTCACGGGCAATCCGTGAGTGACAGCTGCCAGTGGCCCAACGCGGTGCGTACGTGCGTGCGTGCCTCCCGCGGCAACTGACACGACCAGATACCGGCCGGTGCGTGCGTGCGTGCGTGCGTGCGGGCGTGCGTCGTCGTCGTGCGTGCGTGCGTGCGTGATTGCCCCCGCGTGCGTGCGTACGTGCGTGCGTGCGTCCGTTATCGTCATCATCATCGCCAATAACGCGAATAACACTCGACGATACCGTCCGCTCTCTCTCTCGCGTACTACTCGCGAAGACCCCGTGTGTTTATTATCTGATACAGCGAGAAAGTGCGTGTCCACAACCCTCTGGAAGACCTTGGAGCGAGGAGCTGTCGATTTACCCGCGCGGATCGCCGCTTTTTTTGGCACGACCACGCTATCGCCTGCTGCTGCTGTTGCGTTTTGATTTGTGAGTCAGGTCATGGTAAGGTGAGTACTATGTCACGATCATGCGTGAATTTCCGCGTCCAGTTGTTGTTATCGTTCTTGACAGCGCCATTCGTATCCGGCATCGCGCGCTTTAACGAGACAGGTTTATTCCCGCGCGCGCGCGTGGTTTTCCGTAACATTGCCACGCGTCCTTTTTTTTGCCTCAAGTTTCGAAATTTCATCGTCCACTCTGATGCCGCTCGAGACGATTATTACGGTTCTCGATATTAGTATGAATGTAAACTGCGGATACTGCGAGGACTGGCGTGCTGGAAGTGCGCGGCCACAAGGCGCGATTTTTTTTCTTTCGATTATCAGCCAAGCGGCCACGTGCTTCTTGGACGCTTCGCCAGTCAATGAAGAGATTGCGACAGCACTTGGCGTCGCGATTCGTACGTGAAATCGTACGTATAGTCGCCTGCAGAACGGTTTACACACAATGAAGTTAGGAGCTCACCGAACTATCAAAATTGAAAGTCGTCAGTGCGACGGGCTTTCACAGTAATAATATAATTAATTATATGATCGACGCGAATAATGACAATAAATAATATAATTATACTGTCCGTCGGTAATCACTCTCAATTTTGATAGTTGGTGAAATCCCAATTTCATTATGTCCAAATCGTTTTGCGTTTCAGCTAAAAACTAGTATTGATGCATTTTAGTTATTAATTAACAGTTATCGCTTTGTCAGAAGTTTCACCTACTTTCATTTGCTTCCGATTTAATGCAGAAAGACATTGTTGACAATTGTCAAACTTCAAGATCAATAAGATTCTAAATACATGGTAATACAAATCGTCTCGTTCCCATCGCGATCCGCTTGAAATTTAATCTATTCCGTCGAAGAAACAAGTAGAATCACGAGAGAAAGTCACACATTTGCAAAACGGAACATACTTACGGGACGCGCAAGAACTTGAAATGGTACAGCGAGATTATTAAAGGTTGCACAGGGGATTTCCTCGATGAGTTTCGATACGCATCCTCTGTACCCAATAAGAGAAAATGTATCTCCTCTGAAAATTACTAAAAAACAAATTCTCCTATCGGATATGGGAAGCGCTGTGGAACTTGTCGAGGAGAAGTGTTGTATTTTTTAATCATCTGACTATGGCGTCGAGTGAAATTCTCGGGGAATTGCGAGCGTCGTAACGAATCGATCGCAATCGATTCAATTCGCGAGGCAATGTTTAACGCACTCGTGGTGCGGCGCGACGATAAGCGAGAAGTTGTGGACGGATTACTGGCGGCGACGAGAGCTCGTCCGACGATTTTCCTCGTTTTCCTTTCGAGACGAGGCCGCATTTGTTTTGACATGAGGATGCTACGCGACGACGGTAAGGCACAGGTGGACAGATGCGTAAGTGTACGTAGAACTCTTGCACGCGTGACACGACCGATCATTCGCGCTCGTGTAAAGTAGTTGTATCATAACAACTCGATGAAATTTGCATTACACGTACATGGAAATACTGTCTAACTTTTCGTGCAATTGGAAAAGGATTGACCATACGAGAACAGAGATATTTGCCACTAAGTTAACATCTTTTACACATGTTCTTTGAGATTAACATGTAAATTTTAACATCTACTTTTCACATCTTTCAAACTGCACGTGAGATTTTGATGAAAAACTTCTAAAAACTAATATTCTGATGTTATACACAAATTTCAGAATTTTTGACCACTTTTATCTTTATTGTGGAAGCCGCAGCGATAAAAAGTTCATACTTTTAACAATACAAAAACTATATATTTTTTTTTATATAAACATTTATTTATATATATGTGTATAAAAGAATAATATTTTCATATTTGTACGATGCAAGAAAAAA